CTGGGTGGATGAAATGAACCACGTGTGCTTACACGCTGGGTGGATGAACCACGTGCGCCTACACGCTGGGTGGATGAACCACGTGCGCCTACAGGCTGGGTGGATGAACCATGTGGCCTACACGCTGGGTGGATGAACCACGTGGCCTACATGCTGGGTGGATGAACCACGGGCGTGTACACGCTGCTTCAGGGGGATAATAAGTAGCTTTCTCATGAAACCTTCTTTGAAAGACAACTAGAGGAAGTAAATAAAAACACTGAAAATTCCTAGATAGCCACATTAATTAACACATTATCTCGGCCAGTTCTGTTTTCTCCTAAGGCTGACTGGCAGGCTTCTGATTCCATCCCATAAGACAGTCTCATCTTGCCAAGCCCAGAAGTGATGCTTTGGCCATCTGTGTATCGCCGGCTAAAGGCCTGCAGCTGGAGAGTCGTGATTCAGTTTCAACTGGGGGTAAAACAACTTGTACTCTCTTTTGCCACAAAACACAACACACTTTCAAATTTGAGTGAAGAAAAGAATAATAGCATTTTTTTTTACTGAATAAAAATGCTAGTAGATCCTGAATATCTTAAGTCTTGGGATAGTATCTAAAGAGGAACTAACTGTAAGCTGTATTTGATGAAATTATTAGTTGAATGTGCATAGAAAAATTTGCTAGCCCATGGGAGCAGCTAGTGGAGACCTAATAATCTTTTTTTTTTTTACATATACATGTATTTACTAGGTTTCCACTTTGTGCTTTCACAAAATCAAAAAGGCTTAAAATTTAACAACAGTAACAATGTTTAAGATAAGGACTAGAAACAAAAACCTCATAAAGAATGAAGATAAATACATTCATAAAAGAAATCAGACGATTGCTGCAATGAAGTATTAAGCAATAATAATAGTAATGCAAAGAAAGTAACATACATATTGTCAAATAAGAGTCTGAGGTTCAGTATGGAGTCATCAATTAACTTCTTATTTTTTTCCAAAGTCTCAAAAAATAGACAACTAATATTTATAAATAAACATAAACGATAATTTTAAAAAACAGATCATACCAAATCTTAAAGACAACAGAAAAAGAAGAAATACTTCAAAATCATTTTGCTTAGTCTGGATACACCTGAGATTAAAATTGGAAAACATATATTACTATAAAGGGGAAATTACAAACATAAATCACTTTTAAATGAGGATGCAGTATCCTGTATCCTAAACAACATATTAACAAGTTGAAGTAAAAATTAATGTTTAAGTAATGTACTTTAGTCAAAATCGAATCCAAATTTATGCGAGAATTAGTCACTAATTTTTTTTTGTCCTTACCCTCACCCATCCCTCCTTCTCTGTCTGCTTTCCCCATCCCCCATGCCCTACCATGTTGTTAATTGTCATTAATTGTCCTCATATCAAAGTTGAATACATAGGATTCATATTTCTCCATTCCTGTGATGCTTCACTAAGGATAATGTGTTCCATCTCCATCCAGGTTAGTACAAATGCTGCAAAATCTCCATTTTTTAAATGGCTGAATAATATTCCATGGTATACATGTACCACAGCTTACCAATCCATTCCTGGGTTGCGGGGCATTTAGGCGGTTTCCACATTTTAGTGATTGTAAATGGGGCTGCAATAAACAGCCTAGTACAGGTATCTTTATAATAAAAGGGTTTTTTTTTCCTTCTGGATAGATGCCTATTTTTTAATACCTATTTGATACCTATTCAATAGATCCTATTTTCAAGACCTATAATCTTGATTTGCTGAAGAGCAGAAGAGCTAGCTCCATGTAATTCACATTTTTCATTCTGATCCTGTGGCATATCAATGGATGGGGAAGCAGTTCAGTCTGGGTGCAGGCCAAGGCAGTATACTATTGGCAAAGAACGTAAAAAATGGACTAAACATTTATCTGCCTCTTCTCATCACCACACATTAGAGTCAGGAATCTGGGCAGGGAGTAGCAAGGTTGCTCTTTCTCTCTGTGCGTGGAACCAGCTAGGGCCACTCTCTCAACTGCATGTCATGGGCAGCTGGGCTAAGAAGCATCACTCCCAAGCCTCGTGCCTGATATTCCTTCATGGGGTGTTTCTCTCTTCATACGGCACCTTGTAATTCAGTAGTATGCTTGAGCTTCTTTTCATCAAGGGGGCTGGCTTCAGAGGCTGCCTGGACTCCAAGGCTAGACTCAGAAGTGGCAGTGGCACCTAATCACTTCTGCCACAATCATTGGTGACATCAAGTCATGAGATCAGCCCAGGTTTGAGGAAGTAAAGTAGATTCTACCTCTTGATGTGCTCACCCAGAGGAGAGGAATCGATGGCATTCATCTCTAGAGATTTATCTACTTCAGGGAAAATATGTGAATCTCATATATTTATGACTCAGACAAATCTGACAGAATTCATGGCCTGAGACCTCCATTATAAAAATAGAGTTTAGGAAATTCTACAGCCGAGGAACATGATGCAAAACAGAACATTGGATCTACACAAGGAAATGGAGAACTCAAAGTGGCTAACCTGGAACTGTAGAAGACGTTTCGTCTTTAATTGTTCTAAATGATAACAATTATCTAAAGCAAAAATAGAAGCAATGAATTATAGAATTATGACAAAAAAGTAACATTCATGCTAACAACAGCATAAAAGATAGAAGTGGGGAGACTGGAAATACACTGTTGTAAAGTCCTGGTTGTGTACCATGTATAAGAAGCCATATAATATTATTTGAAAATAGATTGTGATTAAAAACTAGAGCCATCTAAGTATGCAGAAGACCCAATACTACTAACAAACTTGACTTAGTTAATATTGGGTGAAACCAACATTCCACCCTATAAGAGAAGAATACATATTCTTCTCAAGTATACATGGACCATTCACTAAGATGGCCATATGCTGGAACAGATGCATTCATATTCCAACATACCTTCACAAATTTAAAAAAACTAAGATCATATGAAGTATGTCCTCTAACTGTAATAGAGTTAAATCATAAATCGATAACAAAAAGGTATCTGGAAAACTACATCTCTGGAAATGGAAAAGCACACTTCAAAATAACACATGAGTCAAAGAGAAAATCCCAGGGAAAGTAGAAAATATTTTGAACTGAATAAATCTGAAATTACAACATATCAAAATGTGTGGGATGTGGCTACAGCAATGCTTAGAGGAAAATTTATAGCATTACAGTCACTCTTCAGTATTCATGGAAGAATAGTCTTAAAAATTCCCCATCAATACCAAAATCAATGCTCAGTTGTTTATATAAAGTGCTGCAGTATTTGATATAACCTATACATATCATCCTGTATACTTCAAATCCGTTCC